GTAAAACAAATAAGATCCCAAAAATTTTAAGGTAAACTACATTTTCCGAAATTATTTGTTAATAATAATTCACAGGAGCTCAAATTATTAATTTAGAATATTTGGTTTAGATGGTACTAAGTTCACCTCGCCTCATGTAGTCGCGTCATATCATCTAGCTCTCATCATTTGAAAATGGAATGATATAATGTGAAATGAGCTAATGCTTAGCAAGTAAACCTCATGTATAAGGTGCATGCTTATGATATGCGTTGAATTACTTTGAAATAATTCAATTTCCTAAAAATTTAATATTAATAACTTGAGCTCACTTAGTATATCGCCTAATCAATCAGAATACAATATGCCATAGTTATTTGAAACCCGATTAATTTATCGATAGTACCGCAAAGCGGTTAATGTTAAACATAATACATTCAACATTAGTCAGGTGGGCTGGTTTCCCACGTCCAATTTCCCCTCACACTTTGAAGGAAAAGAAAAAAAAAAATTACTTTATTTCATGAAATCTATGTATACTTATAGATGTATTAACATGCCTATCTGGGTCACTGGAGACCTTCATGACTTAAAATGTAGTAATCGAAAATTAAATTTCATATAATAGCAATTTAGATAACATATTTATTCATTTAACTAAGTAATATTCGTATGAAGACAAATAGAGGTTTACTTACCTTGAGAGTTGAGACCTAATAATTTACTTTTTAAATGGCAACTAGAGATAATCCTTAGTCACTCATGAAGTTAACATGCCCAAAATGCTACTTCATTATCATTTATTTAGAATTTTTGGCAAACCCCTTTTTTCAAATATGAACCACACCATTGTTCACAATAAAAAGTAAAAGTGTGATCCAATGTAAAAAGACTTCGTCAATTCATAATTACTAAGATAGTGATTTCTTTTATTTTATATATACACACACAATCTGACACAAATTTTCATATAAATAGGATGTATGTACGTAAGGTACGAGAACACAAATATTGTGTTTAATAGTCAAGCCATATTAGCTCGAGCTTAAAGTGAGGTTTACAACGAGAAGTCTAAACATACGAGTCTAAAATATAATTGTGTAAGAAAATTAATCAAAGATGGATTAATTTCTCCTATATATATGTAAGATCAAGCAAAAATTTGGTTATCCTTACACAAAGCCTCTTATCAGAGATTGATTATCATCGAATAGGATGTGATTGAAACTCTTTAATTAAAATCCACCAATGACAAAACCATACTTGTCTTTACAAATGAGCAATTCATAAGTTCAAATGGTGGCAACAAATCATTCAATAAGTGGACAGTTTGTAGCCCTTAACAATTTGTACACTATCCTAATGATGCAAGTGTTGATGTTATAGCGTACAAGATTCTTAAAACGTAACGAAGACACTGAATTTCACCTTTATGAACTTAGAAGTGGTGTTGCCTCGAAGAAAATATGCAGTTACTACCTAAAATGTTCATAAAAATAAGTAAGTGCGTTAACTTTAACATGCTGAGCAACATTGGTGTGGAACAAGTAGAACTAGAATTTTCATGTGTGACATTGCCTGTATTATCAAAAGGAATGATGGGTTCAAAGCTTAAGGCCCCACGGAATTTCGATAATACTTTGTGATGTTTCACTAAGGTAAGGTTGCAAGATACCTACTTTAAATATTTGAACAAATGAGAGATTGTTAGATATTTTATTCAAATATCGATAATTTGGACAGGGCACCGAACGAAGGAAAATAAGGCAAAGGGGGGAAGGTGCTGCTTGGCAGCACGGAGAGCTCATGCGCTGCCCCTGTGCATTCAGGCACGAGAACATAAGATGGCCCTTCGTCCTAGTAATCATGTCCTTTTGTGTTAAAATGATTATTCATTAAAAATAAGTATTAAATTGATACGGAAACATAATATTAAATCTCCAAATATTTACATCAATGTATATATCAATTTCAAACATCAAATTCGGATTTATAATGTTCTCATTTTTCCTTTTTCCAGATTTAATTTGTGCTTTTGTAATCCGAACAAAGGCTTAGAGGATCTGCTAAGACTATTTATTTGGAGTCTCTAAAACATCTCTAATCGAAGGAGAGAGAGCAAATATCGTTTTACAAGACTATTTGTTCGCAGTTTAAATCGGTTACTATTTTCTGCTCATTTTTTCTTTTTTGTTACAACAAAGTTTTTTGCCCGATTGGTGAATTGTTCTTCATTTTCTCAACATTTTGTGAAGATCTCAACTTTATCTATCCATTACACTGATTCTCAAGATTGAGGAATGCACCCATTTTTCAATGCTCCTATAATTGCCAGTATTTCCCTATTCAAAATGTCTTTCAACACCTACAGGCCACAGGCAAGCCGAGCCTTTAAAATGAGCCAATTTAACTCGAGACATGCTACACAAATAGGGCTATGGACAGAGTTTTTAAATAGGGGGACACGTGTCAAACATCGATTGGACAGTTAGGAAAAAAAAAAAAAAAGAAGAACCAACCAACTGCTAACATGCAATTCGTATTTCTAAACCCTGTCACCTGCCCCTGTTTGACTAGCATAATTGATTTAACTCAGCAAAGATGGCCCACGACAATTCACGCGATTGCCTAGCAAGTCAGCCATAAGAGCGGCTCGCCTAGGTGGCTGCTTTGATGGCACCTACCAAACACCCATCTAATGCAGGAGGATCCGAGTTGAGTGATGCTGATTTGTTAGATAGCATGATGATGGCGCTAAGATACCATGAAATGGCGGATCGGCGCAAAAATGGAAAGTGAATCGCAATTATTTCCTTAATTGGGGGAATTTGACACGTCTTTGGTAATTTGACCATAACTTTGGCTACGATTATCGAAATCGCTATTATGACCTCAATCCGGAAAGCTCTCTTCGGCCCGCACGTCCTCGCCACCCAGCTATACTCGATGGGCATCAATTTCGAGCTCAAGATCTGCTGTTTTCCTTTCCAAAATTTAATTTTGAGTTATTTTTTGCTATTCATGGTAATATTTCGTTTCTTTTTTTTCATATGTTAGAAAACTTAAATTGAGCCAAATTTTTGGCAACCTACTTCTTTTACTTAATATTTTATTATGGTATAATTTCGAGATTTTGCTATTTTTGATAATTTTCCGATAATTTCATATTTCGCAACTATTTAATCCGGCTTGTGGGTTAATTTTGGTCATTCGGCATCATTAATTATATTGAGTTGATTTCAAAGTATTTTCTCTGGCTTTTGGGTGTTTTCTGTCGTTTCTTTCTTGGGAATCATCTGCTACAACAAGCCAATAGGATAATCACTATCCTACCCGGCGTCAGCATCCAATTTTTTTCCTATTTTTTTGTTTAAAATATAGATTTTTTACAGACCGTTATTTCATTCTTAGCGACTTTCTTCCCAAATTTTATATGCCGTTCTCTATCGATTTAACTTTCCAATGTTTCATTTAGTTATTCTATATTTCACAGTTATTTCTTTCGCTTCTCCATGCTCTCTTACAGAGTATTATTTTCAATTTATTTTATATCATATTTTGATGAATAATTAGTGATAAACAATATATAGATGGCAATTAAGTGTCATAAATAGGGATGACAAAATTATTCGGCACCATCCAATTTAAAAATCAGGTAGGAATGGAGAACATAGTCTCTACCTCAACTCTTTTTTTCCCCATCTTATTCTATTTTATTTTAAAGTTTTACAATTTTAAATTGTATTTTTAAAAATTATTCAAGTAATTATGGATTTTTAATCCTTATCTTTGCATTGTCATCGTTGCTATAAATTGATACGATACCCACCTTAAACAATTATGCTACTTGTACAATGTATTTTACAATTTGGTTTACAATGTATGACTTGGCAAACATCACATCTATCTATTTGAAAAATTGTTTTTAAAATCAATGGTCAGGATTTTTTTCAACACAGATATTGTCAATCAAGTTGTGTAAATACATTGTACAAGTGACTTTATTCTACTTTAAAAGATCCATTTGAAGTGTGATTTCAATTGATGGCACTTGTAAAGAAAAGACTTGTGGTTAATATGAGTTTTGCTACATTGCATTATCCTATTTAGAATGAATTATTGCAGATTTATGCACAATGACTATCTTTATCACCAATTTTCCGGTAGTTCAAATACTCCAATCTATGATCTTATTCGTCTAGTTTTCCACAAATTTTTAACTGCAACCAAATAAAAAATAAAAATAACCTTTTGAGAAAGAAAAAAAAAGGATGGGCCAACCAGCTCTTAAATTGGCTCGGCTTGACGGGTTTGGAAATTGGCCGATGAACTGGCTCTTGATTGACTCACATATTGAGCCAACTCAATGCAGGTCTGCTTGGCTGGATCTACTGCCAACCTCGCCTATATTTAAATATTTTGTTAAGGTTTTTGAATTGGTCAAAATATTCGAAATTTCTTACTTCTCAGTGGAGTACATGGCAGGCTGACCATTTGATTATTTTAATTGTATTAATGATAGCAACTCACATGCAATGACTAACTGGGATATTGTCATTGCCTAAAATACGTTTTAAAAGCTCATAAAAGTCTATTTACACATTAGGTCAGGGTCATAAAAAAGTCTATATACGCAATTCGATAATGTCTGTCTAGCATACCCCTTGCTAATCCGAGAGAATATTCAAATATATATATCCTACATTTATTTGTGAAGGTACTAATGGGTTGGAACCAGTTAGATATGTACGAATTTAAGCGTTATTTTTTGAATAAAGTTGGTTTGCCGAAATTTTTGACACCTAGGTTGATCGACCCTCATTTGAGTGTGGGTTCCATGTGAATTAAAAAATACCAACCTCCATGTGTGTTTGTTCGGTCATTCCCTATGTTCGTGTTGCAAAACTCTTGTTTCTTCCTAAAATTTACTTCAAATTATTAACTTAAGCAATATCAGATGGTGAACGAAAGTAACCATATTCTCTTTCAGTAGGCAAGAAAAATGAAACATCAGAAGAGATTCTCATTCAAAACACAACAATCCTTCTCAAACTAAAATGTTGCTTCAACAAAAATCACGTCCTTCGAACAAAAAAAGAAAAAAAAGAAACATTTCCTGTTCTTTCTGCCGGCCCATAGAATTACCTTGCAACCAGCCGAACTGCAATATAACTATTGCCAAAAGAAAGAAGAAACCAAACTTAAACCATAAAACAAGCATTATGGCATTTTATTTTTGTCAGGTCTCAACCTGTAATGCAATCAAAGTGGCTCCCTTATTAGCTTTTGCTGATGGGAGATAATGCTGCCAATTTGGTTCACTAGTATGCCATGATCGACTCTTTCATCTCACCGGAGATGATGTTTGGAGGTCGCGACAAGGGTGCATGAGGTGGATGGTTAGGGAAGGTCGGCGAACTAGGAGGCGGAGGAGAGTGAAAATAGGACCATGCAGGAGGCGGATATGGTCGTGACAAGGCTACATGCGGTGGATGGTTAGGCAAGGATAACAGACTAGGAGGTGGAGGAGAGTAGAAGATGGACCTTGCAAGAGGCGGAGGTGGTGGTCTGTGCAAACTTATTCGTTGAGGTGGTGGTGGTCGTGACAAGGCTACATGAGGTGGATGGTTAGGCAAGTATGACGAACTAGGAGGTGGAGGAGAGTAGAAGGAGAACCTAACAGGAGGCGGAGGTGGTGGTCTGTGCAAACTTATTCGTTGAGGTGGTGGTGGTAGTGACAAGGCTACATGTGGTGGATGGTTAGGCAAGTATGACAGTCTAGGAGGTGGAGGAGAGTAGAAGATGGACCTCGCAAGTGGCGGAGGTGGTGGTCTGTGCAAACTTATTCGTTGAGGTGGGGGTGGTTGTGACAAGGCTAAATGTGGCGGATGGTTAGGCAAGGATGACAGACTAGGAGGTGGAGGAGAGTTGAAGTAGGACCTCGCAAGAGGGGGAGGTGGTGGTCTATGCAACCTTATCCGTTGACGTGGTGGTGGTCGTGACAAGGCTACATGTGGTGGATGGTTAGGCAAGTATGACAAACTAGGAGGTGGAGGAGAGTAGAAGATGGACCTTGCAAGAGGCGGAGGTGGTGCTCTGTGCAACCTTATTCGTTGAGGTGGTGGTGGTCGTGACAAGGCTACATGTGGTGGATGGTTAGGCAAGAATGACAGACTAGGAGGTGGAGGAGAGTAGAAGATGGACCTTGCAAGAGGCGGAGGTGATGGTCTGTGCAACCTTATTCGTTGAGGTGGTGGCGGTCGTGACAAGGCTGTATGTGGTGGAAGGTTAGGCAAGTATGACAAACTAGGAAGTGGAGGAGAGTAGAAATAGAGCCTCGCAAGAGGCGCAGGTGGTGGTCTGTGCAGCCATTTTCGTTGAGGTGGTGGTGGTCGGCTTAGCTTATGCACACACGGCGGAGATGGACTCCTATTGCAACTGATACAATGATTTATATTCGGAGCGAGGTTCTGAACATAAGATGAAATATAACAGTGCGATTGAGCTGAAATTTGAGTCGTAAATGTTACGAAAACAAGGATTAGTCCAATCGTTGTTTTATGGATGGACCAAATCATTGTCATGTGTCGAACTTGTCTTTGTGAAATATTAATGTGATGAATACATGTTTGTGGAGAATATTTATAAGTGGGGTGGGAATAAATTGATCACACCAAACCCAATAAATCATTAGAAAATGGGATAAATTATGCAAGAAAATCCACCACCAACCAAACATGTTTTCTGCGTGCTCTCTTTTTATTCGACTTTAGTGGGTCTTTTAGTTAAAGTTATCACATATTTTTTTCTGCTAATTACACCTTGAAAGACGGGCATTTGCAAAAAATGATAATAACAATAAAATAATTAACATATTGAGACATTAGACGAGACCGAATGTCAAAATTTTTTGTCACATTGTTCAACTCCGTCCATTTTAACATGTTTAGTGAGCTTTTATTCGAAAACTTCCCAAAAATCGATGAAAGCATTCTAGACAGGGAAAAATTACAAAGTTTTGCAACACAATAGTGTTGACCTTGATTTCTGTAAACAATAGTTGCCGGGTCCACTCGCGCACACATGAGCTAATTCCGAAACGTGAAGATGGGTTGCTAATCGACAATACTCCAAAAATATGAACGTGAGAGAAGCTCAACAATGTGAGACAAATGTGTTTGGGTTCCAACGACAGTTTCGTGAAACAATTTTATTAAGATAACCAATCGCAGACAACTCAATCAAAGTGAAATAATGTTAACTCAGTGCAAAGTTAGAGTAAAATCGATAAGAGAGAAAACAAGCAGTGGCTTTAGTATCTAAAGTTGCACTACCCTTAAACGTTACATGAGGGTATTTATAGCATTACAAATAAAATAGTGGCCCCTTGGATGAAAATAGACGTGGCCTCATCTCTTAATCCTCGCATCTAATCATAGGTATCAATTTTGACCTGCTAGCCTATAGTACACTCAATGCTTTCATAAGGCCATCACTTTATTGACACGACCAGACATTTATACTCATTGCAATTATCCCATCAATCATTCCAAAAGGATTTCGTACATAAGCCTAGGATCTTCCTCGTGTAGGTCGGCACTAATTGTAGTGATTACGTTCAAAGAATAACGCGGTATTTGTAACACAGCTTTGGCGTGTCGATTCCACAGGAAGATGAACGAATTGTTTAAAGGATTGACAAACTAGGGTTTTCGTGGTTGTGAGGGGAATTTATCAATTTGAATGAAATTTAAATATCAAAGTGTGAGATTAGTAAAGTATCAGAATTCACTCTATTGGATTGGCTTAATCAACATCAATCATTCATGCATTTTACTCAAAAAATCTAGGCTTTATATAACATATTCTCACATTTGTTCATTAAAATAAGATTAAGAAACGTCCATATACATCAAGCGTAAGGAAGTAATTAATCCACTAATGACATAAATGAAATTGAAACTCAACAATTATTTTGATCAATCAATAGAAAAAGTATGACTGAATCTATAACCAATCTAATAAAAGTTAAATCAATTTCAAAACCAATTTATAAAGGAGAAACCTAGATCAATTTGTTTCACTTGTAATCCTAGAATTTAGACTTTCTAAAAACAAATTCGGCTTGATTTATTGAAACAAGATTAAAAAAAAACAACAATATACCTTAGCATAAAGCAGTGATCAAATCACGTTAATATATTATTGAAACAATTTAAACTCGACAAATATTGTAATCAATCGATGGAAAAAACATGATTGAATCCATTATAAATTTAATAAAAGTTAAGCAAACCTCAAAAGTGTAATATAGTGATGAAAGCTAAATCCTAAAATTATTTAACAATAAAAATCACATTACATGAATGAAACGACGTTGAAATCCCCAAATTCGATCAAGATCCTTCGTGGCTTCACCAAAGAATTTAGTTCTCCATTGATTTCTTGAGCAAAAAATCAAAGAAAATTGATATGAGGATCAATCATTCCGTTCTCAGATGATTCTTGGCTTATAGTCATGGAAAATTAGGTTACCATAAGTATTTGAGTGAAACTAGGAAACAAAATTTCGCACCTAGGAAGTATTATATGCGACCGCATAGTATTAAGAGTTGCAATAGCATAGAAAAAATATTTTCAACCTTGAAGTTCCCTGGAGCCTTCTATGCGACCGCATGGTTCTTGAACTATGTGACCGCATAGTTCAACTATTTTCTCTGTCAGACAGTTTTTAGTATTTTGATCATAACTTTCTCTCCCGATATCCGATTGAGATAATTCAAATTGTGTTGGAAAGATAACTCAAAGGGTTACAACCTTTCTTCAGATATCATCTTCTAATTCGATCATTTGTCCTATAAAAAATGGGTCCCAATATGAGACTAAAAATCGGTGCGTAACTTTTTCAATTGGAAATAGATGTGTGATCATATTTTGATGATATTTCATCCCTTTGACTTCTTTCCTCGTCTGCTTGACCTCTAACACTCTCAAACCTTCATCATAAGGTTAGCCACAAGTTTTGGGTATTTGCACTTTAATCCCCGAACTTTCATTTTCTTCCACTTTGATCCCTTTTCGCTTTTTCTTTCAACTTCCACCTTTTCTACCAAAATGTAACTTGAATCAAAATATAAGTATAATGAGTGCATTTTGGTATCAAATAATCACACGAATACAAAAATTAAGAGGGAAAAATATTATATTTTACACTCTTATCATGTAGTAAGCCTTGGACTTCATGGAACCTTTTCACCTCAGAACATCTGCTTTAGCAAAAGAGACACGAATAGGCTTCAAATTAATTTTGCAGGCCTCATCACTTGCGTGGGAAGCTTATTCCAAGTAGTTCCAATACTTCAGTGGGTCGATGGGTTGACGAAGGACCTCGATAGTAGGCCATGTGGACAAGAGGGCCCTGATGACGTAGATCCACGTGTGGTGAGGAGTAACAATAGTCCTCCCAAATTCATGTATAGTTTATGTATATCATGCGTGTACTTCAAAAATACGTGGAAATTAAATAATAATAGACGATTTTGTTATGTGAATAAAATAAAAATTTGTCACCTAACGCAATGAGTTCGAAGTTCTATTCTTGAATGTTGTGGAAGTATCTGAAATTTGCTTTGAGCCTAGGCAGATTCTTGCTAAACCGTCAAAGCTTATTTAGTTTTGAAATAACTGAAATTAATTTTCCAAGCCAAGACAAGAAGAGAGCTGAACTGTTGAGACTCCTTTATTTTTAATGATAGCCCTCGATAGTGGTGCCAATGATTTGATGTTTTTGCATGTTATCAAGAAAAAGCAGCAGAGGCGTTACGATTTCCCATATGCGTACGACTGTTATATTAAACACGCAATGATGTCAATATCTTTGTAATCCAAAGCAAACGCATTGGGACTATGCGTGGGAATCAGGCATTAATCTGAGGTGTCCATTAAAAAGATTGTTTGAATTCAAGGCCTCAGATTTGGCTGAAAACGCTTCAGATCATAAGGGCTTCGACTGGGGTTTGTCTCCTGTTTGGTAGAAAAGGCTAAAATTGCTATTGTTATACATTTACTTTCGCAAAAATCCTTCAAGTTTTCTCTCTGCATTCAAATTTTCGGCTTGATAATTCACTTTTAGATCATTTGTTTCACTTAGATAACAGTTTTAGATTTATTCTTCCTATTATTTTTGCTTCCAACATCTTCACAATTTTCCATGGCTTCTAGTTCTAGTAACAAGGGCAAAGTTACCATTGCTAGGTATAGCAATGAGGCCTGATCTAGGTAGTTGAAAGGGGATATTTGGGCAATGAGTGAAGGTCCTATAGATTACGAGATAGGGTGAGAGGCAGCCAAGATTCCTTCGGTTATAAGTTCCTTTGAACTTAGGAACAAATATTGTATCCTAAGTTATATAGAACTCCTAGCACCCGAGGGCCACAAACGTACCTGTTATTCGGGTCAGGACATGTTGCCGTTAGTGAATTTCTGTTTAAAGAAGGAATGCGTCTGCCCCTACACCCCCTTCTTTAAGATAGTGTTGAGGAGCTTCATGCTGGCTCTAACCTAGATCCTACTAAATGGGTGGAGTCAGTTAGTTGGGGCCTACTTCCTCTGAAAGGAGTTTTCCATAGGTGAGAAAATGCCGCTGCATGTCTTTCAAACACTATTCCAACCTCAGCTATTGGGGAAAGACGAGTCAAAGAGATAGTACTACATCACCATTTGGAGGACTCATGTTTATCTTGTTGTAGGCACCCCCTCCTCTATCAAAGGCTAGAAGGAGTCATGGTTTTGGGTAAGGGGTAGGTGGCAAATGGTTGAAGGAGTCATGCCCTAGCTTGCACCATACCAACCCAATACTCCAAAGCACGTAAGTCAATTTCTTTACATCTTTATCTTTTTCTTCCGTAACTTTAACTAACATTTCTTTCTTGTTTTTGCAGATTAGAGGTCGCGCTTCGAACTACACGAAGTGGAATGGGACGTCATTGAGGACATCTACAAATGTTCTCCAAAGTTAAGGCATTTTGACCATTTAATTTACTAAAGCTGATATTTTCTGGACTTTGGATTGATGGCATTTATGAATAAGCACCGAGCTTCATCTTTTACCGTTATATATTTTGATTGTACACTAAATATATCGAGGGTAAATTGAAGAACCTCGCTAAGACCACACTGAAAGGGGTGGAGATGAGGTGGCCCCCAAGGTGGAACAAGCTAAAGAAAGAGTTGACAGTGGAAAGGGGAAGGTTGAAGAGCCTCAAAAGAAGAGAAAATTGTCTCATAGCAGCTACACATCAGAAAAATTTGGCACTACAGTTGCCCATGCTGCTAAGTCTGCTACGTCTCCCCCTCCGAAGCTTATGGAGGCTTCAATAAAGGCTGCAAAAGTTGAGAGAATGAGAAGGGCCAATGAAAAGGCTGAAAAGAAAGAGCAGCGGGCCTCGGAGGCCATAAAGAAGGCTCAATTGCAAGGACCCCAGAGAAGTCCATGAGGTTTTTAGCGGTACAAGATGAAGAAATTGCACATACAATAATGGATGTTACCTCAAGAAGTCAGTGATGCGACTACCAACTTTTACAAATTTTGGATTGA